CCGGCACTCGACTTTTAAAAAATTAATTTTTTAATGCGGAAAATGATTTGAAGTAACAATAATTTTATTTGTAGTTTTATAAATTACAAAATAAAAAAACGACCAGCACCCGACTTTAAGATTTTTCAAATCCACTTATGTAGTCTTTTTTAAAATCGTTTGTAGTAATTTTCGTTTCGTTTGTAGTTGCATGGTTTAAAAATTGCAATTATTTAAAGAAATGGTCAAGAGTGAAATTTGTCAATTTTAAAGATTCATCAAATCTTTTTTCCAGGTGATTCAGACTTGTTTGTAATTCTTTATAGCAATTACAATCGAAATTTAAGATGTGAAAAATTGACATTTTTTAGACTTATTTTTTATTTTTTAGTTGATAAAACTACAAACGAAATTTTTGTTACAAGCAACTACAAATGCTATTATTTTCTATATTAAAAAAATGAATTTTTTAAACGTCACCAGGTTCACAGCTGATTCTTCCTCGTATATTACGCGATGCAAAAGACCGAGGAAAATGTTTTATCGCGAAGCGAAAACGCATTAAATAGGTTGGCGCCGGCGTGATTGCTTTCAACCGGTACAGTTCGTCTTTTAAGCGTATCTTGTTCTTCAGAAATGGCAGTGAGTAACCGGATGTGCACGCCTATTCACGTTTAAATTCCGCGTTAATGCGAAGCGCTCATATTTTACGCAATCGAACGCGTCTACTTCTTCAGCCGAGGTTCAAGTATAGATAAGAAAAAAGTGCGCCATTTTATTCATTTTTATTTATCTTCCTCGTATCTTATCCATTTCTTCCATATCTTCTTTTGTATTCGTGATAAAACGTACTCATTATGTGTGAAATTTGCTCTTAATTTATACCTCTAATTAACAAAAATTGATATTAATTCCATTGATATCGCTCTTCAAAATAGCTTTCTTCTTTTTTATTAATTTTTTTAATATAGGATGTAACAAAATGCTATTTTAGAAGTATTTTCTACTCATCGAAATGAGCAAAAAATGTCATATAAATATATATAAAAAATGATTGCTTAATTGATGCTTTTATCCTACCAAGACATTAGACAGATGCATTTTTGGAAAATAATTTGCTTATTTTGCTTGAAAATGAATTATTCTGAGATGTGAAAATTATTTCCTACCATTTTAAAAATTAAATAATATGCATGCTTTATAATTACCTCAAACTTCAAACATGATTGATATAACGCGAAAATGAAGTATTTTTAAACATACATATATTTATATGAATTTTTTTGCTCATTTTCATGAAAATATGCTCCACATTTTTGGTGCATTGTGTATTAATTAAATTAGTGTATCTGAAGAAAAAAAAACAACATAAAAATATAGTCTACAAGAACTTTTTACACAAATTATTGTAAAAAAAATGCACTTTCGGCTTAAATAAAGTGTAGATGACGAATTATATAATATCTCAATCGCGAGATTCGATTCTGTTTGAGACGCCATCCTGTTATATCGCCGGATGCGAGCGCAATGACTGTTCGCAATGAGTTTTCTCGACTGTCAGAGACGGAAGTGAACGAACACGGCCAGGTGCGTAGCTGCATGTATGTACATATATACATGTGAAACGAATCTTTCGTCTCTCGCACACACATGTATAAACATCATCTTAATTAATTCTATCATATACATATAATACATACGTCTTTTTTTTTTTAACGAAGCCGAGCATCCTTTGTTGTCAAATTGAATTTCTCGGCGCGAAGTCGTCGGCTCTGTTCGCCGTAAAATTATTCAATGGAAACTCGCGTATCTTCCTCTCTTCCCCGGCAAAATATATAGCGACTCGTATCGCCGAGTATGGAAATTTTCTTCCTGGACCGAACGACGGGCTACGCTTATTGGTATTCTAATCGTTTGCTGGTCTATTGCTATTCCCTCGCACGATTCATTGTTCGTGCCCGATGCGATCTGGAAAACGAGATAGAGAAGGAAAGAGTGTAACTCGAAGAGAAAAAGAGAGAAGGCAAAAAGTAGGAGAGTAGACTGCATTTCATTATTCTAACGTACTAAACCGCAAGAACGCGGTTTATGGATATAGTATTTTTTTTCATGAATAAGAAATATATTTATACATACATACATCAAAATGAACATTGTAATAAAACTGTACGAAAAGGAGAGAATTGATGAAAATAAATTCTTAGGTTAGGTTCACTTTGAATTGAATATATAGATTGAAAAATCTTTTGATACAAGCTTTTAATCTCATTTTTATTACTTTTGTATTATTCTTTCATGTCACCTCTATTGCGAGAGCCATATTTTGTGCACAAATAAACTGCAGAACTTGTGTATTAAATAAGTATTGTTACGAGCTGATGCAAGAGGCCGATAAAAAACTATAATTTTTTAACTTTTATAATTTTTTTATACGAAATTACAGCGCTCCCCGTTTAATATTATCAGTACTTTAATTGTGGAGAAGGATTTTTCAATCTGTATAGTCAATAAAAAGAAAAGTCCTCGAACTTAAAATCGGTAAAACAGACTTGGTTAACATCCTCTTAAGGAAATTAAACGTCGCGTTTTCTCACTTTTAGCCGTGCAAACTTGGGCGATAGCCTTGCTAATTTTTTTTACACACTTGACATGTATACCTGGTGAAACACCCACTAAGCACACAGACAGCTTTGCGATGTTGTTGGCAATTAAATGAGATGTAGCAATCTTTCGCGCGTGGTACGTCGAATCTTTTTATAACAAAAGGAACCTAGATACGACCGTCCGTGAGTCATCGTGACAGCAATCAGTCGTCGCAGTCGCGTTTCATCGTTTCGGAAAGTTTCTTTCTCTTCATTCGTAAAAATTGCACGGTATTTTATTACCCAGTCAATTAAATACTCGTTAAAAAGACGGACTGTCTCTTGTCACGATTTAATGCGATTACCCGGTGCATATTAAATATTGTAATAAAAAAGGTAGGCATTTTGTGTCGGTGATACATCAGTGTTGAATTATCCTCCTTAAAAGGACTCAACGATGTTTCTCTGCGTTTATAATTTACTTATTTAGGAGATTTTGTGATATGAAAAACTATTGGGAATATACGTTGAAAATGTAAATACAAAATCAGGTAGGAAAATAGGAGCAACAAAATTGTTCGTAACTTCTTCTTTAATCATTTTGATTTTGAAATTATTTTATTTTTCATATTTATATGTCAGAGTCTTTTCAATTTATTATTTTAATTCGAAAATATATATTCGTCGAGGCTGAGAATAAAGTTCGCGATCAATTGCATAATGACATTTGTCAGCTGCGTGACATTTGGAGTAAAAATATAGTCTCTCCGAGAGAGAAAGAGAGATTATATAATTCGCATAATAATTATAAACTTTAAATGTGTACGTATAAGAGACGATATCGTGTCGAGTTTATTTTGCTTTCAACTTCTCTCTAAATTTTAATTCGTATAATTTTCTTTCAGAATTTATCCTGAAAATCATGGTAATGTTTGATTAATTTTACTATTATAATTTCACTAATTTACATACAAGTTTAAAATCACTAAATTGCATATTAATATTTTTTATTGATAAATAATCAATCAGAAAAACTCTTATAAAATTCTTCCAACCATAATTTTCAGGATAAATTCTAGGAAAAAAATTCTCTGTGTCTACACAAATGCAATTTAAAAAATTGGAATGAGAATTCATTCTGATTGATAAAAATTGATTCTAATTGTCCTTCCGGATCCGATATTCGCCCGATCGGACACGTTTTATCCTTAAACCTGTATGTGTAAGCGCGCGAGTAGAAAAAATGCATTAATGCTATGGTTAACAGCGTGTTTATTCGCGATCAACGAGGAAGAAAATCTGGCGGCGTGCAATTTTTGCTACCGCACTCGAGTGTGATGAAACGGTTGTTCATGGTGGAAAACACGGCACGTCACGTGCGTCAGTTGCGTGAATAAGTCGCGGCCATTAAGTCGAGCGCCAGGATGACGACGACGACAAGAAATCATGCCGGTGCGATCGAGATATACTATATATCTCGGACCTCTCTCGCAAACTCGTCCGTTTTTGCCGTTCGATGAATAATCGCGTTCGGTTATACATATATATATATATATATATATATATATATATGCATCAACGAACGACGCAGCAGCTGATCGTTAATTACCCGCGTTCTCGCGGCTGCAAGCAAACAATAATTAAAAGTAACTACGTGTACGGGCGATAAAATCGCGGGTCGCACTTGGTCGCGCAAAATCCGACGCCCGAGAGAATTGTTTAACGCTTGAATAACGTTTCGCTATTTGTGTTCGATTCATCTAGCTTTTATTCAGCGATCGAGAAGAACTAAAGATCGGAAGGAAATTACGATCGCGATGAGGCGGATAAAAATAGAAACGAATTAAAAGAAATGTTGCAACGAATTGCAAAAGTCTGTAGAATTGTTCAATATTTTTGTAAATAATAAAATTGATTCTCTTCAGCATTTATTCCATCGCGATAAGACGGATAAAAATAGGGACGAATTAAAAGAAATATTGCAACGAATTGCAAAAGTCTGTAGAATTGTTCAATATTTTTGTAAATAATAAAATTGATTCTCTTCAGCATTTATTCCATCGCGATAAGACGGATAAAAATAGGGACGAATTAAAAGAAATATTGCAACGAATTGCAAAAGTCTGTAAAATTGTTCAATATTTTTGTAAATAATAAAATTGATTCTCTTCAGCATTTATACCATCGCGATAAGACGGATAAAAATAGGGACGAATTGAAAGAAATATTGCAACGAGTTGCAAAAGTCTGTAAAATTGTTCAATATTTTTTTAATAATAAAATTCTTATATTATTATTGAATAATAATACTCTTCAGCATCTATTTAATCGTTTAGCCGCGACGTTCTTCGCGGAGTCCCGCGAAGTTCAGAGCGCGATAGGCCGCGACTTGGAAGAAGGTACTTGGGGGATCTCCTGCATCCGGCTTTGTGTTCGCAGGAGGCTGAAGGCTGATCTACAGTACCTGAGAAGAAGGGGACTGCTCAAGGCGTCCGGCAGCAACGGCGGCGAGCTATCCCATCAAGGACGCAAATGCGCGCGATGCGGCGCGCCGTTCGGTAGATTTTACAACACCGGCGCGAGGTGCACGCGTTGCAGACACCGCGTGTGCAGGCAGTGTCGCACCGAGATCGGAAACGCAACGGCCGACAAAGAGACCGAGTGGATCTGCAACATTTGCTACAAGATCGCGTAAGTGCCTTTAAGAATTCGTTTTCTCGCTGAGAACTCGAAATGTCAAAAAAATAAATCGATTTTCCTTATTATTCAATGACGATTGAAATGAAATATTTTTACTCGTTATTTTATTTTGTATATATGGACATAGAGCAAATATAATTGATATTCTGTAATGAAAACACAATATTAAAATATATTGCATCGTGTGTCTTTTGGAAATAATTTTCTCGCTGACAGCTCGAAATGTCAAAAAAAAGAATTAATTTTCCTTATTATTCAATAATAATTGAAATAAAATATTTTTACTCATTATATATTATTGTACGTAGAGTAAATATAATTAATACTCTGTGATGAAAATTACACAATATTAAAATAATTTTCTCGCTGGAATAAAATAATATAAATAAACATTTTCTCGCTAAAAATTCGAAACGTTAAAAAAAATTAATATACATATAAAAGGCAATAAGAGCTAATTAAGTTCCGTTATTAATATTTATTTGTGGAAAAAAATTTTTTAACATAAAATATTAGACAAAAAAGTTCGAACGTTTCGGTTGCCTTTTTCAACCTTCTTCAGCGCATCATTTAAAATTAAAGATTAATGGAAAGTAATAAATTATTCATAATTGTCAATATACTAAAACTATACAGAAACAGTTATTCGCATAAAACTACGTCAAGATATTATTTTTATAAAAAACGAAATCGACGCATTTTTTAAAAGCATGAGCCTTTTTATATATTCTATTCTTCGAATCGTCATTTAATTAATTGTAATCTCTCGCGAAAAAAAAAATTGAGACAATTGAGATAAAATGAGCTCGCAGTATTTATACTCATTATATTACATTGTACAGAGAAAATATAATTAGTATATTTAATATGATGGAAACATTATATTAAAATATATTGTTTTGTGTAAATGTTTTCAGGAAATATATAATTGTTTCGCTGAAAACTTGAAATATAAAAAAAAATTAATTTTCTTTATTATTGAATAACAATTGAAATAAAAATAAACTTTATATTTTTACTCGTTAGATTATTGCACAGAGAAAATTATAATTGGTAATCTATAATAAAAACCTCGTGTGTGTATCGCGTGTTTTCTGAAAATAATTTTCTCGCTGAAAACTCGAAACGTCAAAAAAAAGGAATTAATTTTCCTTTAAAATACAATGACAATTAAAATAAAAATAAATTCTGTATTTTTATTCATTATATTATATGCATTGTATAGAAAAAATATAATTAGTATTCTGCTGTAAACATTCTGATGTAAACAAGTTATTTATATTATATTATATATATATCGAACAAATCAGAAGGATGATGTGTCTCGTTAATTCTTATTTCGTAATATTTTTTAGTGAATTTAGATAATGAAATTTTATACAAACTTTTTTGCTAATTAATATAAATGTAAGTAAGATAAAATTGCAAAAGCAAGCTATAGTAAGTCAAGTAAATCTTGACGTTGAATTTTTAGATGAAAAATAAAGAATGATATGTACACCTTTCGCGGTGCATCCTTTGTTTCTCGTCGACCTAATTTTGAACCTGTTCAATTTTCAGAGAATTACACTTGGTTACTGACAAGTGGATGTACGAAAGTCCAGTTTCCAGTGGATCCGTGAACGAGAAAACATCGTCCTTTCCAGTAGACATACTAAATCGTAGCATCCGACGAGCTTGGACGATTAATGGTGCGTTCTGATAGATGAATCTTTTATGTATAACGCGGTCAAAAATTTTAAAAATCGAGAAAATGTCAACAAATGTCAAAATTAAATATTAATATAATTTAAATACCAATTCTAGCGATTTAATTAATTTATACTATATTCATTTCTTTATAAAACTTATGATATATAAGTTTTATAAAGAAATGAATATAGTATAAATTAATTAAATCGCTAGAATTGGTATTTAAATTATATTAATATTTAATTTTGACATTTTCCCGATTTTTTAATTTATAATATAGTACATAAATTTCAATAATTTATAATATACATAAATTATTTTTCCAAAAGGTCCTCCGATACGTTGGTCAGCTGCGAGAAAATCCCCGGAACTGCGCTTGTATCGAAGTCTGCCGTCCCGTCATCAAGACTATCGAGAGCCGCTGGATGACTCGGGCTTCGACGATAGAACATTGTCGAAACTCGAAGATGCGCGAGAGGACAGGGACTGCAAGGACGTCGAGGACACGGAGGACTGCGCGAATGTAGACGAAACGCTCGAGAAGAGCGCGTCGATTAATGAACGAACGAAACGCGAGAAATCGACCGGTAAATCCGAGGACGAAGTGTCATCGCCGGACGCGGGAAAATTCAGCAAGAAGAGGGAGCGATCGGGCAAGGAACAGGAGGAGTCCTCGCAGGAGCACAACGCCCCGAGAATCTCCCTGATAAAACCGCCGAGGATACTTGCGAAATTCATATCGTCCGAGACGAAACCGAGCCCGACGAAGCATGGCGAGAGGAAGTCGAATATTCCTATTTTCAGGAGGAGCTCCAAGGAATTCGAGGACATCCGAAGTCCACAGGAGTCGCCCAAGCGATCGCTCATCCCTCAGAGGTATACATCATTTCTCCTCCTTTCTGGTCACGCCGCGAATAACGAATTTCAGAAATCTGTTTTTAAAATAAATCTGTATTATTAATATCATATATATTAATATTATATATTTAGAATATATCAGATATAGAGATAGATATAGCATAGAGAGAGAAGATATTTAGAAGAGATCAGAGAGGGAGAGAGAGGAAGAGATAGAGAGAGAGAGGAAGAATTAGATATAGTAATATTAGATATTTATAATAGGAGAGAGAGGGAGAGATAGATTAAGATCAGAGATAGAGGGAAGAGAGATATAGATTAAGAGAGATATTTATAATAGATCAGATGTATATAGATAAGATCATAGATATATTAATATATTATATATATTAATATTATATATTAAATCTCATATATGGATATATATTAATATCATATATATTATTATATATTTATAATATTATTGTGTATATATATACAATATATAAATATAATATATATTAATGTTATATATATTAATATTATACATAATATAATTAATATAAAATCTCTATTATTAATAATCTGTTACTGATCTTTATATAATTATTTTGCAGATACAGAGGAAGCACCGATGACTTGCGTCGCAGTCGCGAGGACATAAGCGTACCGAGTCTGATCCCGAAATTGTTGTCCTCCCGCAGCAAGGAGGAGCGATTGAAACGGCAAGACAGCAAGGACGACATTCGTTACTCATCGAAATCAGGACGAAAGGAGGAGACCAAGTCCTCGTCGCTCGTCATCGGCAAGGACGAAGCCGGCAAATTGGGAATAAGGATCTTTCGCCGCGACAATAGTCGCGAAGACGTGGGCAGAGACGGCACCAATCTGATCAAGGAATCCGCGAAAGGCAAGCAGCAGGAGAAGCAAGAAAGAGTGGAGAACGTGGGCGGCACAACGAGATCGAGAGTCGGAGTCGAGCAGAGCAGAACGAGGTGCGAGGACGGCAGGAACGACATCGAGGAACTGTCATCGAGCAACGAGGCGGCGATCGAAGCCTCGTCTCTCGAACAGCATGAAATAATATTGCTGGACGACGCGAGGATGCTCGACGTCGTCGTCTCGGAGGACAGCACCCAGGACGAGCGGATGCGAGACCGGGACACGATGGTCATGGGCGAGGAAGTGATAAACGAGAAGCGTTTGCTGGCGACTCCAGAATCGCTCGAGTCAGTTGTGGAGAACGATAAGGAGCGGAACAATAATGAGGAGGAGACGAGGAACACCGCCGATCGATTGTTGGACGTCGGCAGCGACGCAGGTGACGTCATTGGTGAAAGAAAGGGCCCGCTGGAGATCGGCTATGGAAAGAGGACGGACGAGTTCCAAGTGGTCAGTGAATATATGCTTGTGGAACTGTTTATCGTACGCGTGGGCGCTGTCGTATGTGAATGTGTGTGGAAATATGGAGGTGTTATCGGCATCTTTTTGCGAAACTTGAGAGCCTTTTCTCTTAAATATAGAATTATGCTAATGATCATTCAATCGAGAAGTGATCATTATTTCATGGAGAGTTTTTTATATTTGATATTTTTAAGATCGTATATAAAATAAAGTGTGGAACTTTTTTTCAAAATCTTTACATACGTATTAACTTTTCTTTAATTTAATTTAATTTTTTTAAGACAAGAGATGGTTTCAGACATTTAAAATGTATTTAAAAAAAATAATAAATAATAATAGCTAATAAATAACAATTTTCTGAGAAATGGTAATTCACGTGCAAATGTCAATTACATATTTATGAATCATCGTTTGTTAAAAGAAAGAAGGCTCTGTCGCGCATACTTAATTTCAATATTTATCATTATTCATGACGAGATCGCGTTACTTAATATCCTAAGTCTAAGCACGATATTGTCATGCGCATATTGTTTGCTAAACAGGTGCGGCGAAAATTCTCCAAGGAAGAATTCTCGAATCCAGACGACACCGACGACACTCCGAATAAGCGTTGTTCAAGCGTAAGTTTTTATTGAATTGCAAATTTAACACTCTTTAAAAAAATTAAATCAATATTAAAAAATTCTAAATTATTTGTATCTTTTTAATCTTTTCTATTAATTATTATATTGTATTTATATTATATTTGTAAATAATAATTCTTAATTAAATTTTCTCTTGTTATTGGCAGCATTTGTCGCCGGAAGCGAGTCCGCTGAGCACGAGATCTTCGAGATACAGTCCTCGGGAGAGCGAAAGCGAACCCACTCCTGCATTGCCACGTAAAACCGGAGGAGACTCCTGCTCTGCGTCCCAAAGGATACGCGACACCATTACGAGAACCAGGAGGGAATCCAACAGTAGCACGAGATACGAGAGCAGCGGTAGCGAGAGTGTCAGGTGAGTTTATGAAGAAGATTCGCTTCAGCAAAATTGAACTTCCAAGAAAGTATATTCGCGCGCGCTTGTTTTAATCCGTTTAAGAAACAAAGATCATTTTTTCAACTTTTTTTAAACATAAAAAATTATGTTTAATTATTTTTTAAGAATTATTTCTTTAAAGATGCAAAAATTAAATTAAATTAAAATTTAAAAATTAAATTAAATAAAAAAATTTAATTAAATTAAAATTTAAAAATTAAATTAAATAAAAAAATTTAATTAAATTAAAAATTAAATTAAATTTATTACAGCTTTGTTTTTTATTCTCTCCATACAGATTAAGCGAGACCGGCTTGCACGGATACGTGGAGCTGGCCAGGAAGGTGAAATTTTTCGGTGGTAATGGCAGCGGCGCGATTTCGTCGATGATCGGCGGTGACGAGATGGTGCAACGTGACAGTGCAACGAGTGCAGGCGAGGATGAGAGCAACAAGGACGGCCACGATAGAACAGGCTCGCTTCCTTCCCAGGGAAGGACAATGCTGCGACGAAGACGGCAATTCGATGCTCAAGGTAAGTAATTACAATTACATTTCTTTATGATAGAATTCAAGAAAACAAACTTTTTTCATTCTTTTCATTTTTTAATTATGTAATTAAAAAGGCCAAATTCTTTTTCCCCTTTTTTCAGCACCTCCAATTCAGCTAAATACGATGGCTTAAACAAAAGTTTATGATTTGTAGAGTAATCTCTAAAATAACATTGATAGATTCACTCTAAAAGAAGATTCAAACTTTTCACTAAAATGTGTTTGAATAAATATTATAATTTTAAATATCAGTTGCTAATGAATTTTTTGGATCGCTTATTTCTTGGAAACATTTGTTGGACTCAACATAATATTTCTAAGAATTAATTAATCTACTATATAATTATATTATAATTAACTTTTAGTTGAATTGGAAATGATGAAGAAAGGGATTCTCTAGAAGCTTTTGACCGCACTCTTTTTTTCTCTCTCTCTCTCTCTCTATTTAATTATAAGAGTATAACATTTTATAATTGAAAAAGTCTCGGCTCTGTTTGTTTTCTCTAATTTACTTGTTTGCATCTCTTATATTTGTAAAAGCCGCACCTAGGCATAATTATTAATTACAAACAGTATAATTAATGTACAATAACAAGTATCGTTTCGCTTTCGCGGTTATCTGCCCGCGTATAATTGTTTAATCGCGTGCTGGTCTCAATTAAATTTCTGACATATCCTCGATTTTTATTGAATTCTAGTAATCGTTCCTAATCGACCGCGAAGACGCAAGATTTCTTCACCGTTGAATTATCAAAAACAAACTTTCTTTTATGCGTAGTCTTTCTAATTCGATTTATTTTTAAGCGCTTAATTCATTAATTAATTAAAATATATTTATTAAATATATAATATATTTATAAAATAATTAATATATAATTAATATTTAAAATATATATAATTCATTAATTAATGAAAATATATTTATAATAAATATATAATATATTTATAAAATAATTAATATATAATTAATATTTAAAATATATATAATTAATTAATTAATTAAAATACTGATTAGATTGCTATATACATAAAAATTCATCTTGGCAAAATTCTATTTATTTATGTTGTTTTTTCAAGCTTGTTAACACTAGTAATCTCTTTAATTCGAATATTAATGCTTGTATATTCCTTCTCCATTAGTATACTGTTTATCGTGCTAAATGTGCACATTTAGTACGATAAACGTGACTATACATACATGCATATGTAAAGAGCACCATATGGCTCCCGTAACGATAAGCTTATCGATTATCGAAGTCCCTGGCAAATTTCCTGGTTCGAGAACAGTCAGTATTCCCCGAGAGAGCCGCGCGGGACTTATAAAAATTGAAAACGCAAACTGTGAAACGATAAGCTCAATATTGGGCTCTCGAGGGAGTTCTGCTAATCGCAATAAAATCATATCTGACTGAAATTACGTCGAAAGTTTAAAACACAGTAAATCATACAATTTTATCTTAATTGTAGCACGTCGCGAGCAAAAAGTAAAGACAACTGACGAAAGAGGAATAATTAATGGAATATCGAAGAGAAATAAATTTAAACCGACATGTTTTTATTGTTTATATATTTTTGTATTAAAAAATTTGTGCTTCGATTCGAAGTTGGAGCAATCTTTTCGATGAAACTCCGCGTATTCTGGAGTCCGCAATCATGTTTCAATGGAGCAGAAACATTAAGAAAAGCAATTATCCTTAATCTTGCATTTCGTTTGCCGCGAAAGATCGGATGGAATGTGAAAGGAATGCATTCGACGTTTATTAGTGCGTAAAACAGTGCATATTCCGAATTATTGTTGGTTTTCGTGATTCGAACACGTTAATTTATCGAGAAACGATCGTAATCCGATTCGAGCGTAAATCGAACATCTGGTGGATCGATTGTTTTATTTTTTTCCCCCTCGTTAATTTTGCGCAGAAAAAAAAGAAGAAAAGTGTGTGTATTTTTTTGCAAACATGCAACTGCAAAACATAATCCGACTGACAATGACATTTCTGTTATCAATGTACTTTCTTATTTTCTACACCGGGATTATCGTGGTGTTGTACCTGTTATGGACTGGAAATGATTAACAATCAATATCAAAAAATTTTTTTTAATTTATTTTGTGAAAAATATTTTTTAAGAATAAAGGAAGAAAGGGAGAAACAGGTAAAAAAATTGTAGGAAATGTAGATAAAAGAATTATTGTGGTAAAAAGTAGCTTGAGTATCTTAAGTTTTTCACGCTGTTTTTATTTCTGTTATCAATGTATTTTCTCATTTTTTACACCGGGAAATGATTAACAACCAATATATTAAAACAATTTTTATGTCTTTTTTAAAATTTATTTTGTGAAAAATATTTTTCAAGAATAAAAGAAGAAAGGGAGAGGAAAGTAAAATCTCTTAAGAAAATTGTAGGAAATATAGATAGAAGAAAGCATTATTGTACAATAGTACATAAATTACCTTAAGTACCTTGAGTTTTCCACGCTGCACTTGAAGTAGTTTGTAGCCATACTCCCCAGAGTTCTACGGCTTTCATAATTTTTTTTCGCTAATTCATAACGTTCATTGTTATCTCTCTTGCGTCATTGCATTCGAGATTTATGACACCTTGTTACCGTCATTTATTTGAAGCATAATTCGCTCGAGGCCGCGAATCTCGAAGATTTCGAACGAAACGAAGTCTTATCTGCGCCGCCTTATCTCTATTGTCCGTTCTCGCCCGAGTATGATTCTTTTGGCACGGAATCATCTGTACGTGGCGGTAGGTAGGTAGCAGGTGAGGCGAAGCGAAGCCGGGCCCAGAGGAACAGCATAGGAATAATAGTGTAACAGCGTTCCCCTTGCTGACGCTCTATAGTCCGCTCACCTGTGCCGCGAATATACGGGGTGACTCAGGAATAAAAAAAACGGAGACGCGAAGATCCGCGCGATTACGCGCCAAATTATCAAAAAATCCTCCGAAAATGATGCAAATCCTATACCCACAGAGCGCAAAATATTTTTCAAATCTTTGACAAATATTTTGTGCACATTATATATTTTTCTTAAAAATATTTCTTAAACATGAAAAAGCGGACACACTTAGAAACATTTTTAAAATATTTTTGAGAATTATTTTTAGAATGTTTCTATATGTCCGTTTTTTCATATTTAAAAAATATTTTTCAATATAGATTGAAACTAATATTTCAAAAATATGTATCAAAAATTTACGAAAATATTATCTGAGCGATAAAGAAGAACATTTTTAAAAGTTTTTTAAAATATTCTAAAAAATGTTATCACAAAAAGTTGTTTAATCATTTTGAAATATTTTTAAAACTATTTTAAAATGTTTTTATATGCAATATTTTATAGAAATATTTAGAAATATTTTTTGGGTATTTCCAGGATTTTTTTTAAGCACATTGCATGCAATTTTCATTAAAAGTGTTAAAGAGAAAATATGAATTTAAAATTGATGCACATTATATATATTTATATATGCATGAAATATAAAATATATTTTTTTATAATATGTAAATGTATTTTTATATTCACATATTAAATATGTAACGCGTATGAAAAATAAGAGATGGAAAATGATATGATATTTCGGATTAATCAGAAAGAGAATATTTTATCGGTGAATATTTTATTTAGTAACATAAACAGTTTATATACAGAAATATTGAAATGTACGTGCGTAGTTTTTTATTGGAAAGATTTAGCTTCCTTGAAGATTGAATTTTGAAGTATTAAAATATTATATTCAATTTTTAAAAGTGACATAATAAATTGTTAGAAGACATTCTCAAGTATATTCATAAATTTTTCTTTCTTCCAATAATTTCTGATGTTGCAAAAAATTTTTTAAATCTGTCATGACCCATAATAAATATCATTTTGATTTTCTTTATTTCTCTTTGTCACTTAATTTATCTGTCAATTATAAAAAGCATCTGAAATTAAAATTGTCCTTGCCATGCAATGTAAATTAATCTTTTTTTTTATTAATTTATAATTGCACGACCAAATTATAACAACTACTAGGGATTCGTCATCATCGATTACCTATAGTAATATTTTTAGCTTTGATTAACGATTAACATGATTAATCAGTATCAAAGTCGAAATTTACTCGATTAATTAAACTCGAAAATTTTTTAATTACACTAACCAAACCTAAAATTTTTGAAATTCATTTATCTGACAGATGACAACTTTGAAAAAAAGTTACTGTCAAAAGTGAACTGTATTTTTAAGAGCACGTAAAAAATAAAGAATTGTAATAAAGAGACCTTTTTTCTGTGTGCAATTTAATAACTTTCGACTTTACTGATTAATCGAATAATCACATAATATTTTTTCCAATACATAATTTTAATTAAATAGCCAAGTATTAATTTATTCCTAATTTTTTACCGATTACTGTGTTTTCGTTCGGACTTTTTAAACACGTCTTGCCTCGTTCGAGCGGTGAATCTGTCAAAATTTTTGTAGTAAAAAAATTGAAATGGGATTACATAAAGAAAAGGGTCGTTAAAGAGACAGATCACCCAGTATAGCGCGATGCACTATAGCGCCCAGGTACTATAGACACCGTAGTAAGGTAGTGACCGACGCCGCGCGCACAGGGAGACTCAGGTGTGCCCCCTCGACGTAGACGCTCTCAGTTTAGCGGCGGTAGCCCACGCGAATCGCTCACTTTGCCTTCTTCGCCTTGGTGCGGCGACCGTCTTTATTCCGCGAACGCAGGAAACGAGTCGAGGTAAACCCAATTTTTCCCATTTTTTTGATGTTTCAAAGTGACAGTTCGAATCCTCTCGCGAATCGCCTCTAAGGGAAATATTTTTAAATAATTATACGGCAAACGAGATATGAAAAATTGAGAAGATACATATATTTTTTTTGTTAAAGTGTATAAGTGAATTTTTTATGTCAGAGAAAATTATTTTATTTTTTTGACGTTTCAAAGTGACAGTTGAGCGCATTTCGAATCCTCTCGTGAATC